GTGCGACCTCAACACAATAACAATATCACCCCTCATACGACGGGACGCACCCGGCCTCGTATGGGGTCTGTCACGCCGGGTACTCCTACGACACATGCGACCTCAACACAATAAAAATATCACCCCTCATACGACGGGACGCACCCGGCCTCGTATGGGGTCTGTCAATGCGCCGTCTACTCCTATGACACGTGCGACCTCAACATAATATCATATATCTCCCCCTCATACGTTAGGACGCACCCGGCCACGTATGGGGTCTGTTAACACGCCGGCTACTCCTACGATACGTGCGACCTCAACACAATATCACATTACCCCTCATACGACGGGACGCACCCAGCCTCGTATGGGGTCTGTCAACATGTCAGTTACTCCTACGACACGTGCGACCTCAACACAATAATAATATCACCCCTCATATGACGGGACGCACCCGACCTCGTATGGGGTCTGTCAATACACCGGCTACTCCTATGACACGTGCGACCTCAATACAATATCATATATCTCCCCCCTATACGTCGGGACGCACCCGGCCTCGTATGGGGTCTGTCAATACACCGGCTACTCCTATGACACGTGCGACCTCAATACAATATCATATATCTCCCCCCTATACGTCGGGACGCACGCGGCCATGTATGAGGTATGTCAACACGGCGGCTACTCCTACGACACGTGCGACCTCAACACAATAACAATATCACCCCTCATACGACGGGACGCACCCGGCCTCGTATGGGGTCTGTCACGCCGGGTACTCCTACGACACATGCGACCTCAACACAATAAAAATATCACCCCTCATACGACGGGACGCACCCGGCCTCGTATGGGGTCTGTCAATGCGCCGTCTACTCCTATGACACGTGCGACCTCAACATAATATCATATATCTCCCCCTCATACGTTAGGACGCACCCGGCCACGTATGGGGTCTGTTAACACGCCGGCTACTCCTACGATACGTGCGACCTCAACACAATAACAAGAGCCCCCCTCATACGACGGGACGCGCCCGGCGTCGTATGGGGTCTGTCACGCCGGGGACTCCTACGCCCCACGCGACCCCAACACAATAAAAATATCACCCCTCATACGATGGGACGCACGCGGCCTCGTATAGGTTCTGTCAACACGTCGGCTACTCCTACAACACGTGTGACCTCAACACAATATCACATTACCCCTCATACGACGGGACGCCCCCGGCCTCGTATGGGGTCTGTCACGCCGGGTACTCCTACGACACATGCGACCTCAACACAATAACAATATCCCCCCCCATACGACGGGACGCACCCAGCCTCGTATGGGGTCTGTCAACACGCCGGCTACTCCTACGATACGTGCAACCTCAACACAATATCACATTACCCCTCATACGACGGGACGCGCCCGGCGTCGTATGGGGTCTGTCACGCCGGGTACTCCTACGACACATGCGACCTCAACACAATAACAATATCGCCCCTCATACGACGGGACGCGCCCGGCGTCGTATGGGGTCTGTCACGCCGGGGACTCCTACGCCCCACGCGACCCCAACACAATATCACATTACCCCTCATACGACGGGACGCACCCAGCCTCGTATGAGGTCTGTCAACATGTCAGTTACTCCTACGACACGTGCGACCTCAACACAATAACAATATCACCCCTCATACGATGGGACGCACGCGGCCTCGTATAGGTTCTGTCAACACGTCGGCTACTCCTACAACACGTGTGACCTCAACACAATATCATATATCTCCCCCCATACGTCAGGACGCACCCGGCCACGTATGAGGTCTGTCAACACGTCGGATACTCCTACGACACTTGTGATCTCAACACAATAAGAATATCAACCCTCATACGACGGGACGCACCCGACCTCGTATGGGGTCTGTCAACACACCGGCTACTCCTACGACATGTGCGACCTCAACACAATAACAATATCACCCCTCATACGACGGGACGCACCCAACCTCGTATGGTGTCTGTCAACACGCCGGCTACTATTACGACACGTGCGACTTCAACACAATATCATATATCTCCCCCTTATACGTCGGGACGCACCCGGCCACGTATGGGGTCTGTCAACATGCCAGCTACTCCTACGACACGTGCGTCCTCAACATAATATCACATCACTCCTCATACGACGGGACGCACCCAGCCTCGTATGGGGTTTGTAAACACGCCGGCTACTCATATAACACGTGCGACCTCAACACAATGAAAATATCATCCCTCATACGACAGGACGCACCCGGCCTCGTATGGGGTCTGTCAACACGCCGGCTACTCCTACGACACGTGTGACCTCACAAGCATATCTCACTATCCGCTTTGGGCCTGGCTACATTCTCACCAGCCATCTAACTGTTCGCTTTGGGCCTGACATTCTCACCAGCCCGCACGGGTTTAAAGGCCTCAACACAATCACAGGACGGTACTTACAGTGTAATCAAAATCCGGGGAAGGTAAATAGGGTAGTGCGTATAGCACTTCAAACTGACAATCTACACTCTTTTCATACCTTTATAAATACATATTAATGTACATTAATTTCTAATATTGTAAGCACCTCAACGACAATTCACAAGGTGGCACTTATAGTGCCCTCAAGCATCTTTATAAAATCATATATATAATTTCCACTATTGCATAAACCTCAACCCTATGTATAGCATCCAATAAACCCCTTATTAAAATCATCAATTAAAAATCCTAAACTCCCCATATCCCTATAACTCGACTAACGGTCAAGACCTAACTCTACGGTCATTTCAATCTTCCTAGGAAGGTAATACTACCTAGGAAGTCTCACGGACAACCTAGGGTCAAACTACCCAATCTTGGTCAAACAGGCCCGCGGGGCCCACGACCTCCAAATTTCGATTCGAAAGTTCCTATAGGTTCTACCAGGTCTAGGACAAACGTCCTGCAAGTTTAGTCTAGATCGGACGGTCGGATCGCTCACGATCAGACGGTTACTAAAATCCTAGCCCTAGGATTGGCATTTTCGGAGTATCTGGGAGTCAAATCCAACGGGCTAGCCCTAGGGTTGGCATTTGCGATCCGTCGAATCCTACACGATTCTAAGGACATCTAGATTAACATATTATAACTTGGAGTCAATCCAACGGTCCGAACCTATCGAACCCGGATAACGCATAATAGGCGATATCTGTTTGAGACTCCAACGATGTCCAAATCAAGATCCGCAAAATCCTATGCACTCGTGACAACCTGAGGATCGCATTGGGACAAAAATTCCCCTCATATACAGTGCCCACGCGCCGCCACACGGGCCGACAGCGCGTGGGTGTCCAAAGCGATATCGCATCACCGGAAAACTTCCAAATCGAGAGCCAAGACTCCTACCCTAGGTAATACACCTAATTTGGAGTCACTTTGTTCTTGGACGTACCCCAAAAACATACCAGAAGTGGCCGGAATCTCATCCCGAAATCTGGCCGAAACCCAATTCGTAAATCAAGTTGCCTACGTTACAAATTGATCAATTCCTACCCAACAGGCAGCTAGAGCTCAGAAAATAGATGAGAAAGCATACCTTGATTGCAAGATTTGGTGGCCGGAATCGTCGGAACAAGCTCCGAAAAATCTGGGTAAAAACCGGCTGTTTTTCTGCAATATCCAGCGGTATCGCTGCCGGCTGACATCAGAAAACAGGTGGGGGAGGACGACGAAGTCAGGCCGGTCATTTTGGGACCGGTCCCGACCCGAGTGGTGGCCGGAGGAGTGAACGGCCGGCCAAAACGTGGCCGGCTGCGGTGGCGTCGTGAACCAGAGGAGAGAGAGGGACGCGCGGGAGAGAGAGAGAGAGAGAGAGAGAGAGAGAGAGAGAGAGATGAGGGCAAATCTGTCTTTTTATCAAAAATCCCTTTTCCAAATAATTATGATCGTGCCACTGAGTTTCATTCGATTGTAACTCTCTCGTTACAACTCCGATTCGAGCCCACTTCGTGTCTACGGACTCATCTCACCGTGCTCTACGCAATGGTACAACCGGAATTCCCAAATTCCTTCTGGATAAGAAATGACCAAATTACTCCTATCCCAAGGGTAAATTCGTAATTCCACTCAAATTAATTAAAACCTGGGATAAATTTGGAGTTGGGGTGTTACATTATATGTGAGACGTACATTGTCACAATTTTCATAAATATATGAGGAACAACTCCCCAGAATTTTCATAAATATATGAGGAACAACTCCCCACTGACGCTTGTGAAATGTGACCAATGCGGCTTGTCACCGATAGATACAATAAGTGACGAAAGATGCCTTGTGCAAAGGTACTATATGTGACAAAACTTTCGTCACATATAGAACCCGTATGTGACAAATCATAAATTCGTCACGTCAAACAATCTGTGGCGGGGTATAGGTGACGAACCTTGTGACACCGAAAATGAGTCACATATTGTCAATTGTGACGAATTTACATGTTTAAGTGACGACTACTCGTCTTCACAGAAGGCCTGTTTTCTTGTAGTGATAATTAAAACTAGCATCATTATCATATTGATCAACTGTATCAATATGAAAAGGATATTTCTCACTATCAAATGTTGAAGGATCTTTATCTATCTCATCATCTTCATCCATAAGTATCGCTCTTACAGACTTGCTTTTAACTTTCCTCTTACCTGTACATATGAACAATGAATTAAAATTATAAAATTTAATGGTAATGAATCAAACACTAATTGTAACTTTCACTCCATGATTTACTTTCCATACTTACTTGAGGTTTCACCATCTTTTCTCTTTTTTGAAGCTAACGAGGAAAGAAGAACATCATCGTCAAGAATAAGATCATCATCAATAATAGGATCTTGAGTTCTAGAATGGACAATAGGCTCTTGAGTCCTAACATGAATATTCCCTCGCTCTTGAGTCCTAGGATCACCAATAGGCTCCATAAAAATAGGCACTCGAGTATGTAGATCAGTTTCATAAGGTTCAGTGGGCATATTTCTGATGACATCAACATCGTATAATTCTTGAGAATTAAGCCAAATAAGATCAGTTGGTAGAATTGGTTCTCCAACCTCAGCTATCCATTCATCATCGGACTCAATTTCATTCACCAATATTGGATCAATCTTTGACCTCCCTCTAATAATTCTCTCTCTTAGTGCCGTATTATACTTCACATATACTAGAGCATTAAGCTTTTGATGTTCAAGTCTATTTCTTTTCTTTGTATGAATCTAAAATGAATATAAACATACAAAATTAGATTTAGAAGCATCAATATTTGAACAATAAATTAACAAAAGAACTTTACCTGCTCAAATGTGCTCCAATTCCTCTCACACCCAGATGCACTACAAGTAAGGCTAAGGACCCGAATAGCAAACTTTGTCAACTCAGGTGTGTCCCTTCCAAAATGCTTCCACCAATTTGCTAAAAAAAACAAAACAAATCCATCTAATTACGTTTAACATTTATTCCAAACGTTCATTATACTCGAATGAAAATGAAAAAGTAAAGATTATAACTTGGAGTTCGTAGTTTCCTTGAATTCACAGCAAGACGACTTCCAACCTCTCCTTTTGCCTCATCATACAAGTCCAACTGGATATCAGCAGCCATACGATCCTCAAAAGACAACATCTTAGTCATGCAATCTTCCAATCCCTTCCTTACTTCATTAGCATTAGAAAATGTTTCTTCGTAACGCAATTGAGGGTTCAAATAATAACCAGCAGCATGTAAAGGCTGATGGAGTTGTGGGCCCCATCTTTCGTCTATGGAATCAGATACATCAATAGATTTCAAAAACCAAGTACCTGCTGGGCTATTCACAAGAAAGTTTATTAGTACTCTCTTTTTACCATTAGTCCAACCATCAGACATAATAGTACATCCATACTCTGCCTAAGCTTTCTTATGTTCTTCCATCATTGTGTTAATGTTGCTAACTTCTTCCTTAAGGATCCAAGTCCTCAGCTCATGCATTGATGGAGGCTTAAATCCTACACCATATGCGGCAATCCCTTCCACCATAGGTAGCCAAAATGGATCATTTACAATATTAAATGGGAGTGCTCTAGAGAAGAAAAAATGACCAATCTTTCGACAAACTTCCTTTCTTTCTTCTTGTTTGTATGCTGAATTTAATGTACTTTGCTGAGCTTCTAATGACAAATCTATCCATTAGTCCTTTTGATTTAGGTTGTGCTCTAAGAGCCTCATCAACTGCAGCACTCCTAGTACCAGGGATTCCATATTCTTCATCCAACGAAGTTTCCATACTCTGAGCCCCTCCTTCTGGACCATCCCCAATCCCTCTAAGCATTTCATTTTTCTTTCTTTTTTCAAGCTGAAGATTTTTCAAAGTTGCGGCACACTCTTTTTTCACATGCTCAGGAACTTTCTTACATGGTTGCATACCATGATGAGTTTGACCTAAATGATGCTTAAGTCTAGAAATTCCTCCACTGCATCTTTGATCACAAAATGCGCATCTCAAGTATTTTCCCCCCTCTATTTCTTTTGCATACTTTCACACAGGATCTTTTCGATTCATATCTATAAAACAATACCATTAATATTTCTAAGATACAAGTGTGATGCATGTACGTCAAATTTCTACTATATCACATAAACGAATAAGATAACTAGTATATTTATAAAAAAAATGAATTGAAAAAAATTTATATGAAACTTCAAATTATAATTTATTACAGTCAAATTATACAAGTATGATGCATGTACGT